TCCTGCTGCGTAGACTGAAACAGGACTGAAGGTTATACAGCGAAGAAATGTACAGCGTATACAGTATTCTCTTCTGCCGGTAGATCCTGACGCCGTTCCTGCTGCGTAGACTGAAACAGGACTGAAGGTTATACAGCGAACAAATGTACAGCGTATACAGTATTCTCTTCTGCCGGTAGATCCTGACTCCGTTCCTGCTGCGTAGACTGAAGCAGGACGTTGAGTTGTGCATCCCACCGAAGAAGGAGCTCCAAGTGTTCGCGCCGCTGACGGCCACGCAGCAGACGTTCTATGCCGCCACGCTGAATCACACGATCACTCAGATGCTCGACGCGAGAAACGTAAGCGAGAACTCAGTCCAGGCGGGACTCTACTGAGAACGTGTGCGTGCATATTTATAAAGATGACTCGACCTTTATTTTCATGCGGTTTTACAATGTTACCACATCTATAGAAAAGATGGAAAAGTCTCTAAAGTACACTTTTGGCATTTTGTGGCAAGTGTGCAGTGAAATTGTGTTTTTACATTGAATGTGTCTATGGGACACTTTTATCTTTAGTGATGCTTATATACTGTTTATGACTGTATGTGAATGGGAAAAATAGTAAATCGATCGTGCGTGTATGCGAATAGGAAACCCAAGAGCCGAGAGAAGAGGTGGAGCTTAACGAGAAAGGAAGACCGGTTCGCAAGTCAGCGAAGAAGGTATACACACATTCACACCTTAAAGTTGATCAACCTCGCAGCTAAATGCATATATATATATACCTACTGTGACCTTGCATATGTTGCAAAAATTCACTACAACTCATTTGTGTTGCTACTTTCATAACATTTCTTCTCAAAATCTAAACGAAATTACTTCTCTTACGAACGTCGCACCACAGCGATGTTTACACATCCGGGACACAGCGGAGCGATCTGCTTGATTCAGTAACAGTTCCTTTCTATTATAAAACAAGTTATAATTCATTATTCGATGTTTATTCAGTACAAAATTGTGAAATTTGTTTAAATCATATATATCTGTATTACTTATGCAACCAGGAAACAAATATAGTGTTTTCGTTCCAGGAACTATTTGCGCTATGGCGTATGGATACTATTTTGCGTTATCTGGCACTTAATGGTACAAATAACTTGCGTCTGACGTAAGTTTTCAAAATAGTAAACTTTGAAGCACATTTCTGGTTCAATGAGAACATTCCGTGATGTTTGCACACTGCAAGTATGCTCACAGTAGGTCTATATAGGCCTTTTGTTGCGAGGTCTATCCGTTTTAATAATGAAGAAATCCTGCTTCACAGCATCTCCGGCAGCAAGTGCTGTGACTGTGAATGGTAGACAGTGATTATGTATTCATAATGCGTTGTCTTACATTAAATGTCTAGGAAACCAAAGTGGTTTTGAGATGTCAGCAACATGTATTGCTCGCAACATGTATCACGTATCACGTGTTCTAATACCTAGAATGGTTTTTATTCGTAGGTAAACTATAATCTCATGCTAGAAGGTTTGGAGCGAGGAGGCAGAGCTGATGATGAGGACGAGTCTGACGCCCACCTAGATGATTGGGTGATGCGCATCGCAAAGTGCACTGAGAGGTTTGTTATATCACTGGTAGAATTCTAAAAAAATCAATGGCAAGGCCATGCAGTGTTGTCTATGGTCTAATGAGAAATTTTAGGGCACAGCTGCAAGTTGGAAGGGTACCAAAGTAAGCGAAGCGTTTCCTTAAAAGGAGGGTTGTTAGGCAATTTGGGGTTTAGCAACACTGGGACAAAGATATTTCTGGTCTTTGTCCTCTTCCCCCCCCCCGTCCCAATCCCCAGGGGACGGCAATGATTTGGACGAAGGTGGGCCGCACCAGTGTGGCATGCAGGGTGATAGTAAAACATTTCAACTTGCTCCGGTTCTCGATATCTGCTCGATATTCATGCTTCACTGCTTTAGTTTGTCCACCTAGTTATGTAAAGAACACATCTCTAGTTAACAATATGACAACCATTAGCTACCGTATTTACTCGTGTATAAACCGCATTCGTGTATTAGTGGCACCCCATATTTTGCCTCAAAAAGTTGGTACAAACATTGGTACATTAACAAGATTTCTTAGCCTCGTGTATAAGTAGCGCCCCCGATGTATTATCGTCAAGTTGTGTGCAAAAAAGTGTGGCTTACACACGAGTAAATACGGTGGCATAGCGCTCATCAGACTGTTCACTTGTCAGTCGCTACAGCAGCGCCCAGCCGCTCTCGGTGGTCGAGCGGGAGAGCCGCGCAGGCAGCGGTCGACGGCGCGGGCGTAATCTTGAACGCTTCGCAAACGCGATGAGCCAGCTGCGTAAGATCTGCAACCACCGTACGTCATCCGAGTACCCGCTAGATGTCGCCCACGCCAGTACCGCTCGATGAGGACGTCGTGGAGGAGCTGCGGCATAGAATGAGTTGCTAGACAAGTGATGCTGCCAGGCTGAGAGCTGCTGGCCACCAAGGGTGTCGCCGACCGTCATGCGCGGGGGGAGGGGGGGTTACACACTATATAACTATATAAACCTTGTCTTTTTGGTAAGTATCGTTTACGCACCACAGCACACGCACGCACGCACGCACGCACAGTATTAGTTTATGCTCCGGC